TGTCTCGCTTTATTTCAGGCAAGACTTGACACCTCCGACCCACGCTCTGGCCTAATCGGCGGCCATTTCTATCTGAGACAGATACTAGAAGTTCTGTGAACAACAAAATTCCTCGTCTCTCTCCCGTCAATCGGGGTTTGGCATTATTTTTATGTGCTTCATGCAACAGGCCCTCCGTAAGTGGTCACATCATTTCAATCAGATCACCTAAGAGGAAGCCAACAACTCCCACTGCACTTTCTGATTAAAAATTGTTTTGCATTCCATTCAATGAACAAACGCCACTTAAGTGGTTCTGTCTATTTAACAGGATATTGGAAAGGATTCGACCAGTATAGCATGAATTTCGGCGCATACAGCGTCTTGGCCAAAAGTACTATAAAAATCAGGAGTGAGTGCATACCGATCTACCAGGGTGAAGCTCTAAGAGCAGGAGGGAGACGACAGAGAATGGCGGTTGATTGATACAACCCTGTTTCGGGCTTATTCTGCCTTCACTCAGCAGTCATAACCCTGACCACCAACTGGGACCGGAAGCACATAAATGCGCACGCACAGGGCGCAGGTGGTCCACCACCGGCGTCTACCAGATGGATCAAAGCTCTACATCGGACAGAAATTCACCAGTGCCCCGCCACTTCACCCCCTCTGCTACCATAACTTTGCTGGCTTTGATCTTGTAGGTGATTGACTACTCGTAAGCTCTGCCAGCCAAACCGTGCTTATTTACTTCAGGAAGCTAATAAATCGCTGTACATTCATACATGATTGAGTAACTACCCGATCTGAAGCGACCAAGTAGAACAGGTGGAGAGGCACTTATGAACTTCGGTTCCGATACAAGTAAAGATGCAAGTTTTAGGAAGTAGCTGCTAAGTAAAAGCGATCGCTGAACAGAAGCTTTATTTTCCCTACATTTCGGATTCACATTCGGACCCATTATCAGAGACGCTGACATATACGTGTGATTCGCGCACAGGAAGTTGCAGTATTTATAGGATGCAGTCGTTATGCTACTGTGACCGCTTAAGTGACCGCTTCCCACTTTATCGGGGATTTTTGCCAGCTGGTTTGCCAATTACTTGGTGGCCGGCATGCAAGTTGTTAATTGCTGAAATTCCATCACCCAGTGTTGGATGTTGGCGCAGTTATTGTTCAGCCATTTGGCTCACCGGTCTGCGTGCTCCCCGAGTGGTTAAATACTTTAGTCAGACTATGTCTTAGCGCCGAATATGGGTTGGGGATATCACTGCACTTGTTCATAGGCTAGGGCTCATGGACCATGACTCAAGCAACTCGTGACTCATTCAATTATCACCTTTCGCGAGAATTTCGGTCTCATCGAACTTAAATGTGTGGCCAGGTTCCATCAAATGTGCCGCGACTTGAGAGATGGCGTCATTTCTCCCCACTGCCGGCGCGTGCTCGGCGATTCGCTTTCGGACCAGTTTTCCAGCTTCTCCGACGTAGTTGCTTTGCCAGCATCTGCACCAGATCCAATAAACGATTCCAGATGTTTCTCGTCGTGGCAAAGGGTCTTTTGGCTCACCATTTGACGCCTAATGGTTGCTCCGGTCTGTATTCAACCCCGACTCCAAGTAGTGCGAGTAAGCGGTTGACGACATCGGAGACGTTCTTGATGTACGGGATCTCTCGCCAGAATTTGGGGTCTCTGCGATTTTGTCGCCCGTCTCGTTTGCGCATGCACCGGTTGACAAAGTTGCGCCGGTAACCATTTTCTCTCAAAATCCGTCGAAGTTATTGGGATTCGGCAACCTTGTCTTTCGGTTCGCTGCAGTGCGTCCAACACGTTGATATAGCGATCTTACACAAATTTGTCTGTGGCTGATTTGGTGACTGCGGTTGCAGCTCAGTATTTGTGTCGTATTTGTCGCTTTTCTGAACACTCCGCCTTTAAGCCACCACAATTTTTGCGGCAGACGAAGACATCAAGGAAAGCCAGCTGCTGTGTCTGTTCCGAAACAGACTGTTCTGGTGCTCGACCAGTCCTCGTCTTCACATATACAGTAAAGAACATTAACAAGAAATCAAGAACACTAATTGGTTAATTTAATTCAGTATTTCAAGTTATTACACATGTGAATAAGTGAAGTCAAACTGTCATCATATATACATGGCAAACGTGTTATACCGTAGCCCCAACATAGGTACTAGTTAAAAGCCCAGACACGTGTTTCGCCGTTATTCTGCCGTTGCGTGACACAGCTGATAGGGGTTCGGCTCTTCAGTGGGTTCCCCAGCGTTCCCTGTGCGGTTTCTGGTATATGAACTCCAGAGAAGAATCAAGCGAATAATTTCAGAAATTATTCAGTTCAGACTCAAATTTTCATTGAAATTTCGGGTCTGACCCTAAAAAGAATGTCCCGGAGACCTAACTCCATGTCCTGCACTGAATAATTTCAGAAATTATTCGCCTGAGATATGTATTTATATGGCACACAAGGCCCCTCCATGCAAATAGCCGTTTAAGGGAAACAGCATAAGTACAACAACGCCCAAAACTGTCTTGTTATAGAGTTTACGATTACGCTTCCTCCAGGAATTAGGTTACTATGCAATAAGCCAATTAATCAATTGTCCGATGTTTGGTTTTTCGTTCCAAAATTAGGTCGCTAGAATTCGATGTAATATTTCAGTTTTGACATTGCTGGAGATGCAGTAGACTTTGGCAAAGAATATTTTGCCCAATAGCGCGAAATAGTTTTCATTAGGTCACATACTGACGGATCAGTCAGCTAACAAACAAATTGAACATAATAAGTAGATGAAGTCATAAGAGTTCCATTTCGAGTGTATCAAGAGGACTTTTCTTTTGTAAAATTACCGCGTTTTCGATGACCGTAAGATCCGTGGCTTCAGAGTGTCCTTAAAATTTTAGTGCATACTTTAAGGGCTTCAGTGGTCTCAATTGACCGCCCTAAAGATAGTTTCTGTGGCATTTGTTTATCAAAACCCTTAAAATAAGATATTTCACGAAATCATTTACCAAACAAGTGAGTTCATGGACATTCTTTTCCATTCAGATGGTCGTTAGACTATATTTGCAAACACATCCAAGTGGCCGAGCGAGAAGATACCGACAATTAATAGTAGTGAAAATGCGATTCACAGGTGGCATATCAAAAGAAAAGAGGCGTTCACCAGGAGTGGTTTATTTGAGATTCGACGTTTCGAGTAGTTGGTTCGTCTACCCATCATCAGAGACTGGAAAGTTCTACGCACAGCTCCCCTTATATGGCGCCCCTGGCCCGCCAATGCCGCCTCTGTCGCTGCATTCAACCCGCATATCACCGTGACCTGAATCGCCACCGTCGGCCGCGGAGATGACTGACGGCCGCGATTGTCGCGCGCCGTGACTGTCCCCCGTTAAGAAGGTTCGTAAAGTCAAATAGGGGGAGGCAAATTGATGTGGCGGTGGACAGAGCAGTCGGCGGACATCCAGGCTTCTTGGACTTGCCTTGCTGTATGATCACAGCCCCGGTCCACAATCTGAACGGCGTCCAAATTGAAGATGTGTCCCATTTGCGCGGAATGGGTTGCTATCTCCGACTTTGGGTCCAACCTTCGAACGGTCAACTTATGCTCGTGCATTCGCGTTTGCAGCCGTCGGTCGGTTTCCCCAACGTAGTTGCACCTTCCACAGCTACATTGAAGTCGGTTGACAACGGCCGACATCTCCCGCGTAGGGATCAGATCTTTTGGTCGCATCACTTGTCGGCGGACTGTTGAGTCAGGCCTGTGGGCAACACCTATTCCGAGTGGCACGAGGGATCTATCCACGGCTTCGGAGACCCCTTTAATGTACGGAATGTTCCGTCACAAGGTTGGCTGACTATGTTCTTAATTCCTTTTCTTCAACTGCCTTCGGCTCCGTTCAATGAATGCCCGCGGATAGCCGTTGGCTCTGAAGAGTTCTTGGAGGCGCTTTATCTCTTCTAGTTTGGCGGATGGCGTGCGACAACGAGTTTCCACCCGTCGGTATAACATGCGGACACAGTTTCGTTTGTGTGGTAGCGGGTGGTTACTGTTGTAACTGAGTATTTACAGCGTGTTCGTCGGTTTTCTGTAGACCGACCTCGCTTGTTTGCCTTTTGTTTGGCGGCAGACGAAAACATCCAAGAAGGAAAGTTTGTCCCCTACTTTCTCTTCCATCGTGAAATGTACATTGGGAATGATTGATTTCAGCAGCTGTTCATAATAGTCAATTTTATCCTGACCGATGATTACAAATGTATCATCAACGTAGCGCGCTCAAAACTTGGATTTTTACTCCTCGAACAGTCGTCTCTTGAGTTTTTGTAAAACCGCCTCAGCAATGAGCCCGGAGATTGGTGAACCCATTGGAGTACCCTTTATTTGCCCGCATGTGATCCTTTCGAAGGTAAAGAATGTCATGAGGCAGTGCCCCAGGCGTTCTATGAGATCCTGAGCTGTGGACTGCCCATCACCCCCATCGTAATTTTGACGTAGCAGGTCACTGACCGTTTCGATCGCAAGTTCCACAACGTGGATCTGGTTTTAACGCATGTGATGCCGACCCGGTCAACTTCATTGCTTCTTTCGAATAGGTGCTTCGTCAAAGCGGCGCCACAGACGAGGCAAAGGACCTCCTTCGACATCAAGTTTCCTCACTTCTCATGTCACACAGAAAAACCCATTCCCTGCTAAGAAATGAACGGAAGGCCTTAAGGGAGCTGAAAGCGGACAACGAAATAGTTATTCTGCCTACTGACAAAGGTCGGCCAACCGTTATCCTTCACAAGGTAGACTACCAACACAAAACCCGCATGCTCCTCAACGACCTGGAGTCCTACAAAGTCAGCGATGCCGCCAGTCTAAAATCCCTAGTGGCAAATGTTAACAGAATTCTGGCTCGATTAAAGAAGGGCAAGGTCATAACCGTCAAAGACTGGTATATGGCAAAGCCCGCAGAAACCGCTATGGCGAGATTCTACGGTCTCCCCAAAGTACACACGCCAGATGTTCCCTCTGTCCAATCATCTCACTCCCGGCACACCCACATACGGGCTTGCGAGCTGGCCCACGGAAGAAGGCGCTAATGACGGGATCGGTGCCTGAGAGAACTAGACGAACACTGAAGATGGCAATCAGAATATGTTATCATTTCCTGGAGGGAGTACGCGTTAACAGGCGTGCCGTATCGGTCAGTGTGTATCGTCGTACGGCAACAGCATGGTGTGCTATATTCCGAGGCGTGTGCCCGATGCCATTACTCAGGGAAGTTAATCACATAGGGTGCCGGGTAGTTGAAGTCCAGGTAGATGAGACTTTAATAAGTAGACGGAGATATAATGACGGCAGAATAAGACCCCAATGTTGGGTGCTCTGAACGTATGATACGCAGGAGAAAAAGAGTGCATTTAAACAAGTTAATAATCGTGCGTGGCCGAGGATAAAGGCAGTAATAATGAAGAAGATGGCCAAAGGTAGTGTTATCATAACTGATGAGTGGAAGACCTACGCCCGCTTGCTGTCAGTAGGCTGTAAGCATTGTATGGTTATCCATAGCCGAAATTTCGTTGACACCAATGCAGGGATATATATGAATGCAACCGAGGGTTACTAGAGAAGTTTTAAAAAGGAAACTCAATGAAAGTGGCTCGGTTTCCTGTAAAGCAGTATGGACGCATATAGATGAAGTTCAGTACCGCCTGTGGTACAGCGTGGAGGCAGGTAATCTACCGGAAGCGTGAGAGACCGTCATGGAACATATTGTGGACGCCTACTCCGTAAATGCGGATCGCGTGGGAGCGGAAAGGAAGCTGCACATTTCAGTTTAATGTACTTCAAGAGAATGGGCTAAAGCTCTTGAGATTTTTATTCGCCGCACAAAAATCGGAAGAATTAACAGCAATGTGAAAAAATTACAGTAATGGGTGTAGACCACGATTCACATTGGTCACTGGTTGTTAGGGTTACACAGTCACATAGTCCGCTCGTTGTTGCAACATATGTATATAAATAAATAATTTGCTATTAAAGACGCATCGGGGTCCCATCAGAAAGAGCAAAAATAAATTTACGCATGAATTATAGACGAAGTGGGTAGAATCTGTAAAAAATGCAATTCATAGTTTTTGAATTTGTAATCCGTTAAGAAAAATGCCGAGCGAGCAGTGAAGAAAACTCCACTTAAGAATTTACAAGTGAGAAACCGCCGCTCATAATAACACAAAATGCGGCCTGCATGTGGCAGTATATAACGGATTATAATTGGACATAGTCAGGGCAGAAATAAATGTCAGTCTTGAGGGGTATGTATGCGGGTCGGACAGGACTGGCCTGCATGTGGTATTGTATACGGGATTCAGAAGGGACATCGTCAGGGCAGAATTGATATGCCGGATGAGATTATTCGCGTTTAAGAGGCCAGATGAGAGGAACCCAGACGCGATCGGCCACAGTACGCTTCGGACCCAGCCGAGGAGTGGGGAAGGGAAGTACGACCAAACTACTAGTAGACGGCGAATACTAAGGATTCCGCCGTGAGCGTCGACAGACCGCATGAGGCCGAAATGGGGGAGATGACATCAAGAACCGCGAAAATCGTGGCTATGGGGAAGGAGTGATAGCAGTGAAATTAGTGACCAATTAAAAACAAGAGGTTGTAAAGATATAAATGAAGGTTTCCACCTGATCTACCATTATATACCAGGAACACGATTCTCGAAGTTAAAAAACTGAGTGTTCGGAAATGAGACTGTTGAAAGTGCCTTAATACTTTCCGGTGTAAGGTGTTTGCGTAATTTCGACTTGAATACCATTAACTTAGGCGATGACCTAGTTTTTGGCGGAAGATTATTCCAAAGCAAGAAATATTTGGAAGCAAAAAAGCGGGAGCACTTAGATGTAGTGCAAAGAGGCGGCTGAATCACAATGGAGGAGTTGCGCGTGTCATAAGGCCGATCTCTCGAAGTTAGTGTCGATGAGCGGAAGGTTGGAGCTAGAGTTAATGCAAAAAAGGAAGCAAAGGCCAGCTTTGAGTCTTTTAACCCACAAAAACTTAATTTTCGCCAGCTCACATCTCTGAGTATAGGAAGCACAGGATGCGGTTTGAGAGAGCAGTTTTGGGGTGAAAACCCTCTGAACATTTTCGATCTTAAAACGGTCACAGGCGTTCATTAAACCAAAGAAAGGACAGCTGTATTCGAGGACTGGAAAAACAAACATTTGATAAAGTCATAGCTTCATTCCCGGAAGGAAAAAAATACGCGATATGAATCCACATATCTGCGCGGCTTTGGCAGAGGTTCTGTCTGCATGAGGTGATAAAGCAAGTCTAGTTATATAACTTAGATCTAAGTCCTTTATGGTGAAGCATTCTGTGAGTAGGTTATTCCGCAAAATTATGGTACCAGGAAGTTTGGCAGGACCAAAAGACATGAAACCGCACTTGGATGATGAAAACTCCATTTGCCATGTTGAACCCCATCTGCTTAAGCGTAGTAAATCAGCATTAATTTTTTCAACACAAACGTTTGTGGTGTCCTTAGAATATGAGTAAACACACTTTAGGTCATCGGCGTAAATAAAAGTTTGCGAATCTCCGAGTTCAGCCGAAATATCATTGATGTACAGAAGGAAGAATAGCGGACCCAGACGCGTGCCTTGAAGTACGCCACTCGTGATCGTGTGGGATGTCGAGTAGCTATTACCGACCATGACTTTCTGATATCGGTTGGACAGATAGGACCTGATGAAGTCGAGTAGAGGCGGCCGGATACCAAGAGCTTCCAATTTTACTAAAAGATGTCTATGTGGGACCCTGTCGAAGGATTTGTTAAGATCAAAGTAGATAACTACCATCGACTGCTGTTCATTACGAAGAGAAGTGATTAGATTAAGAAATGCCAAGTGGCAAGTTTCGCAGGATCGTTCAGGTAAATGTCCATACTGATTAGAGCTTAAGAGCCAAGTAGCTAGGCAGAAGTCAAGAATTTAATTGAATATTATCCTTTCAAGAAGCTTTGCTAGAGACGGTGTATTGTGCACGCCCCGATAGTTATTAACATTGGACCGCGATCCAGACTTGAATACAGGAATGATAATTGACGTTTTCCATGGTTTAGGAAAGAATCCTTTTGAAATATAAACCGAGAATAAATGACTAAGCAACGTGGGATGGTCGGATGCCCGTTTAATAATCGAATTCGGAATCCCGTCCGTTCCTGAAGAGTGTGAGTTTTTCAAACTACTTATGTTTTTATTAATGAGACCTGAGGGGACGTCGATTGTACTTAGTGTCCTATCTGAAAGTGAACGAAAGAAGGGAACTGGTTTGGACTCAGTATTTGTGTTTTGCAAGGAACTCACTGAACAACTCCGCCTTGTCAGTGTCATCGATTAGGAAGACTTTGTTATCGTTTAGCAGGTGATGAATTTCGTGACCACGCTTAAAGGAGGACCGAGCACGGAAGATGTTAGCGACGGATTTGCTAGGGTTCGAATCACAGAGAACAAATGAATCTTTTTGCCTGTCACACTCTTAGCGCATCCTTAAGGTCATTTCAGAAGTCTCTATGATTTTAAGATGAACGGAAAAAGAACTAGTGGGTAGGTCAAGCAGGCGCCGTCTCAACTTTCGTAGTCTATTGTGAAGAAAATGAGGAACAAGGGAATCTGAAGAATTAGGCTTGAGATATCTACGCGGCACAAACTCTAGGATATCCTTGGAAACATTGGACATGACGTCACGAAGAATGGCTGCATCGCTACAGGAGAGGATGCGACACAAATCCAAAGCTATAATATAGTTATTTATTGAGTCGTTATCTACGCAATCGTAGTTAAGTTCAAACGGTGCTGGTTTTTTTGATAAGGCAAGCGGTATGCAACAATGAATTAATACGTGGTCACCATAAAAAGGTCCGTTTTGAAAGCAACAAAAAGAGGTGCAATGTCATTGGTAAAGATTAGATCCAAAATGTGATTATTTCTCTTTGAAGGCCGTACCAGTTTGGACCAGTTAGAACGATTGACAATATCTTGAAAGGGTTGGAATTTCGATGGACAGATATCGGAAACCCAGTCTATAACAGGAAGGTTAATATCCCCAGTGATTATTTGAACATCAAAAGCAGCTTTCGGAATTAATTTAAAGCTTTCCCAGAGTTTTGAATCATCACTGGCTGAAGAGTTTGGGGGACTGTACATACAGCCAATAATTGCCTTTTTGCGGCGAGAGAATAACAGATTCAGAGCAAAATTTAACCGTGAATGAGGAGACATCCAGGTTATAGGGAGAGTGTCTTAGGTAGGATCTAAGATAAAGAAGACAATCGCCCCCACGTCTAGTCGTGTGTTTTGGCCGGTAAAAATCGAAGTCATCTATAAGAAAGGCAGAATGGGGAAGTAGAGAATGGGTCCAAGATTCTGTTACACATATAACATCAGGCGTCATTTCGAGGGCAATGGCTCTGATTTGGGCCATCTTGTTTATAACATACCTGGCACTCAATAATATAATATCAAATGTGTTTTAAACAGCAAGGCTATTGTCGACGGTATCTAGAAGAAAAAATTCGAAGGCGGATATATAAGCTGTGAATTAATGATGCTCGGAGAAATTGTACCAGTTAGTCTTGAGTTATTGACGTAGGGGGTGTGAGCAAGAGAAGGCTGCGCATGAGACCTAAATGATGGGGGATATAGTTTTCGATGTTTGGAATGCTAGGGGAGATTGCACAGGGATAGGTTTGATAGTAGTTAAATTGTGGAGGAGTAGGAGTAGGGAGGGAGCCTAGAAGGAAGGTAGAGGCTGGTAGGGGAGGGTAGGCAGCTTTAAGAACAAAAAATGAGAGACCACCTCTAGGTTGGAAGTCAAAGGAGTTAGGTTCACTTACCTGAGAGCAGTTGACCGTAAGTGGAGTGACGCCTGAACTCGTTTGGGGGATAAATGACTTGGGGCGATTCATTCATGAATTATTTACTGGATATATAGTAGGGCTTTGGCAAGTAGGCGGTAGGCAGGACAGAGAATTATTTGGGGATATAATTGGAGCTGCGGGTTTTGTAGACGTGCTGAGCTGTAAAGGCTTTA